TTCATGAAAGGACATAGGACAAACATTAGATGTAAGTAGAAGAAAAACATACTTGCCGCTGATAACCTCTGGTGCGGCATAATTCGGCGATCCGCAGCTGGTTCTCAGAAAATCACCATCAGTCATGATGTTCGACAAGCCTCAAGTTCTCAAATAGAGAGAGCAAATGCTGATAGTGATAAGCTTACCAAAATCTGCTATTTTTACGTTGTTATGCTCATCTAGCAAAAGATTCTCCGGTTTCAGATCCCTGTGTACAACCATATGTCTATGACAGTAATCAACACCAGAAATTATCTGTTGGAAAAAACGGCGTGCTTCGGGAGTTTTGAGCTGTAACATTGTCGTTACTATAAAACAACCAGATGCACAGAGCCGTGTTCTGTGACTGGCGCAAATGTAACCACCATTCATGAACAGCTCTTGTACTTAGAAACTTACGCGACCGTGCTTGACAATGTAATCGAAAAGTTCACCGCCAGATACATACTCCATAATCATGAAGATATCAGTTGGAGTGCTTATTACTTGGTAGCTGAAAATCAACCAAGCTCTTCTTTACCCCCTTTGAAACAACGATATGGTCAAAACTAGGTGAAATTTTAGGGCGGACTCACAGCCGAATTATGTGCGGATGTCGGAACAACGACAGATTTTGTATCTCTCTTCTGATCTTCCCCACCACATCCAACGTCTTGATTTTTTGACGGTTCAAGATTTTTACAGCAACTTTATAACCAGTAGCTTCATGGATGCCCACTGGAAAACAATAAATTAAAATGACTAAAAACGAGAGGTAAGAACCGGTCAGGAGGTTTGGAGTCTATGTAAAAGGATACTGAGCGTTCAACAGCAGAAATATATACTCACTGTTCTTTTCTAATCAAGCATTCAATAAATCGGAAGATGACATACAATTTGAAACGACAAGCTCTCAGAAGGCAATATTTTATAGACTTGGGACGTACCTTTTACCTTTCCAAATGTACCGACTCCAAGTGTGTCTTTGAGGATATAGTGACCGATTTTGATTTGAGGCTTAAGCTCTGGTACTTTAGCAACTTCAGAGGTTGGAGTGGACATGTTACTGAAGGATGTATCCCCTCTGTCTTTAGCTCTCTCCTTTCTATAAATAGATTTTTGTGATAACATCATATACTGTTACGGAGAATATTATGACATAAGCCCTGCAAATGGAAGATGAAGGGTCCAAATCCGCTTGAAGACTAGTAAAGTTAGATCATGATAGGAACTTATACTGCAGGAAACTAATGATCGTGATCATCGAGATATGTA